AGAGCCGCTGCTGGAGTCTCTCAGGCGGGGTGCCGCGGCCTGGACACGACTCACCGGTGTTCGATGGGGTGACGGAACCGCGGCGCTCGCTGGACCCTGTCGCAGCCGACGCTCGAGGGCGGACCGGCCGGATCTCGGCAGGTCGCGAGGGGCCCGCGTGCGCCTGTGGCTGGCGGTGCGCGGATTGTACCCGCACGTGCTGCCGGACGTTCGGCGGGGAGGGGGGGGGGGCGCTCCAGGACCGTGGGGCAAGGCCGGATTGAGGACATGTGGAACTGCGTCCGCCGGGTATAGGACCGCGCGCATTTCTGACTTTGAGAAGTCATTTCTCGATGCATTTACGGGGGTTGTGCCTTAGCGCTCGTATTTTTATTTGTGGGTGTCGGTTGTGGGAGAGCACAGTGATGCGGGCCTCAAGGCCAGCGATTTCGTCGGTCTGAGCGTTTGCCATAGACCTGTTTGCTCAGGGCAATGATGCCAGATGCAGCCTGTTATGGAGCGGCCAAGTGGCGTCATTTCATCCGGTATCGTGTCGTTGGGTAGCATGACATCGCGATCAAAGAGACAGGTAACTGATCATGTGTCCAGCATGCATAATGGGCCGGCTCACACTAACCTTTTGATACTGACGACTCCGACTGTGCGATAAGTGACTGATCTTTGAGTGAGCTCGCGTCCGTTTGACCCTGTACCTAGTTTTGCAGTCGAGATGCCGACAAAACCTGTCTGCCACGACCATAACTCTGGTGTGGTCATGCTTTCCAATGTTAATTCTGTCTCTGTGCTATATGAGTGGCTTGCCATTCCACGAGAAACGAATACTATTCCGTTGCGGACTCAGAAACACCTCCCACCCCCGCTCCTTATATTTCCGGTATCACATTTCCACCACTGACTTCCTTTCTGTCTCCGAAGACCTCGCCATATTGTACAGCGATGGCACACGGCGTGTGCCATCTAATGCTGTCATATTGACAGGAGTAGCTAATGACATTTGCTGGCGTTCAAGGTCTGCGGCCAGCGATTTGATCCGTTCCTTCCCAAGAGCTGTCCCAGGCGCGTCCGCTGGGGCTGGCGCGCTGTTGCGGGTAATTAGGACTGACAATGAGACGATGCGGACATGTGGAATGCTCGGTGGTCCGCTGCTGTTCAGTTCCTGAACCACCGCTGTGACGATTCCGGTCGTCGCAGCCTGATCGGTGGAGCTCCACGCACCGCGCGATGCTGCCACGTTATTCTGTCCGTGTGTTGGCGCTGCGTGAAGCTTGTGGGTCCGGCTGTTGCCGCCGGTCCGAGGCTGAGTGCAGCACCGGGTGACCCGATCTCCCAGCACCGCTGACCCGGAATGCGGGCTGAGCGTGCCCTGCGAGCTGATGGACGGGCGGTGCACTCGGAGCGCTGGGGCCTGTCCCAGAGCGTGCGGCCTCTGTCGTGAGACATTGTCTTTGTCATTGGGGCTTTACGACGCACTCACGTGCTGAGGTTATATGGCGTCGCCTGCCTCTCACCCTGGCAGGAAGCGCGGGCACCGCGCGGGATCTGTCGCGTGGTGTCCGCCCCTCGTGCGCCGCGCGGTTGGCAGCTGCCGATACCAGCGACACCCAGCGGCGAGCGACACCCGTCCGCCGGCGGTGACAGCAGATGGGTGTAATGGGGCGCCGCCGAGTGCCCGTCTGCCGGCGGTGACAGCAAATGGGTGTAATGGGACGCCGCCGAGTGCCCGTCTGCCGGCGGTGACAGCAGATGGGTGTAATGGGACGCTGCCGAGTGACCGTCTGCTGGTGGTGACAGCAGATGGGTGTAATGGGCCGCTGCCGAGTGACCGTCTGCTGGTGGTGACAGCAGATGGGTGTAATGGGACGCCGGGTACGCCGGTGAGCGTTCATGGCCAGCGCGTCCCAGGGCCGGTGCGCGCCACGCCCGGCTGGACCCAGCCCCGTCTGGAGGTGTAGCGGCTGTCTCCGCTGGCCTCCGGCTGTCCGGAACGCCGCGCTGGCGGGATGCCGCCGCTGAAAGCCGGCGACTTCTAGGAATCGGATGGTGCTGTGTGGCGGTGCGGCCGCACTGTCCCACAGATAAGGACAGGTCGGGACTGCGGGGAATCCCCGCGCGCCAGGGAGGCGGCGACAGAGTGTGGCCTTGCGACACGCACGTTCCGGCGGTGACGCATACTAAGGGAGCCGAGAGCACCGGATGGAACTGGGCCGCGCTCGGGCGACGGCTAGGCTAGGCTAGGCTAGGCTAGGCTAGGCTAGGCTAGGCTAGGCTAGGCTAGGCTAGGCTAGGCTAGGCTAGGCTAGGCTAGGCTAGGCTAGGCTAGGCTAGGCCAGGCCAGGCCAGGCCAGGCCAGGCCAGGCCAGGCCAGGCCCGGCTCGGTCAGGCACGCCGCCACGCTCTAAAAGCCAGTACTGGACAGACGTGGGAATGCGGCAGTCGCTGTGTTTGTGAGAAGCCAACTGCGTTTATATTGGATTGGTCCCACGTTTTTTGGTACGAGGCTGGAGTCCAGTCAGTGGGTAGAAGGACCCCTCTCTGGGACTCTGTAAAAGGGTAAAAGTCGTCTCTTCTCTTCGTTATCCTGTTTTCTGGAACCCTTTCGCAATGATTTAGAAGCCGGTCGATTTATTCAAGTAGTTTCGTCTCGCATGTTAGCCGTTTTTGTCGTTGATGCGACCCATAATGGCGTGTGGGGCTATGCCTGATCAGTGGCATTGTTTTTTTTTATAACGCTCACTACATTTGGTGTGAAACGCCATCCAGGTCATGCGACTACAAGTACGAGCCAGTTGTTCTAAGCAATGCATTACAATAGGTTACATAACTGTAAAACTGACAAGAAAGTCCGAATGAAATATTATGAGAATGATATGTGTGATAACACCATTTATGAAAGACATATAATCAAAATTAAATTTCGTGAACATAAGAGAATAACGGTATATTTCATGTGCAGGGAGCGACACCGTCAAAGCTGTAGCTGTTGGCTTGGGAAAGCGTGTTATTTATTAGGGTAACCTCGTCATGTCATTATCATTTCATGTTTGGACCAAATCTTTGAAGGAAATGGATTGTGAGTGTGTTATCACCGACCACCACAAGCTTTCCTTTGGGTCAACTTCACCAGCTTGACGCGAAGGGTTGGAGCTGGCCTGGCGGTGGGTTTCAGTGAGATTGAAGGTAGGTAAGGAGTTGCGATGTTTCCCAGTTAATGGGCAGGACAATGGACCTTTGTATTGGAAAGAACTGGAGCCTGCATGATGTGACCTGTGACATCGATTGAGTGGCCCGTGCTTAAGACGTGGTCCAGGACTCCACATCCGCGTGATCAGTTCAGATGAGTCCTGGAGGACGGAAGCCGGGAGGCGCTGCCCTTGGCCTCCACCGCTCAATTGTCGGAGAGCACGGTGAGTGCCAGCCGTCTGATTATACATGACAGCGTGCGGCTGCCTTGTCCATCGCCTCAGCCGACTCGTCGCCACTGAGCCGGCCAACGCAGCGTCCGCGGCGCACTCTCGGCATGCGGTCTTAACTGACACGCTTGGGTAAAATGGGATAGGCAATTTGCTATTTGCCGCCGGCCAGTGAGGGTCTGGCTTCTATACTGCAAAGGACATCACTAAACACGTTTGGCTAAAGGGGGGGGGGGGGGTAGGCAATTTACTATTTGCCACCGGCCAGAGAGGGTCTGGCTTCTATACTGCACAGGACAGCACAAAGCACGTTTGGCTAAAAGGGGGTAGGCAATTTGCTATTCGCGACTGACCTTTGAGGGCCTGGCTCCTGCGCTGCATAGGACGGCGCGAAGCGTAATTTTGTAGTGCAGCAGTGCGGTGTTTCATTTACGTTGTTTTGTTATTTCTCGGCTAGCGTACGACTTTGTCCGAGGGGAAATGGGGAAAGTTGTGTGGGTGAGCTGACGCCATCCGGCGCTCATGTGGGGGATTGACATCGCCGGGCTTATCTTGATATATATATATATATATATATATATATATATATATATATATATATTACAGTTAGTTTTGTGCGAGTCTCAGGCTCTGACGGAATTAAACCACCTTCATGATTTTCATTCTCTTGAAAAGTGTTCGACCTCCAGAAACGTAAAATGAATTACTTGGCAATTACTTCCAGTGGAATGTAAATAACTTAGGGCGGTCTTAACACGCGACGAGAGTGGTCGGCGGTCGGCAAACCACCCGGAACACCTCGTCTTTGCCGTGTGCATGCTGACGGCTTTGCTGAAGTGGAGCATGCTGTGTGTCGCGCCTCAAATCGAGTCATGGTCCGAGCCAGGAAAATGGCTAAAACGACCGCAAAAAAGCGCTCCTCAAATACAGGTTTATATGTATTTCGCCCACGTTCTCATCAGTTTACAGTGTTATATCCCACGCGGCCAATAAAGATACTATACCCCCCCCCCCCCCCTGCCGTCGATCATTTGTGCGGTAAATGTTGTGCTGTTCTCAGTTCCTTTTTAATGTGTTTTAATGTTAGGTGAGCAATAAGCTTCATTAGCGATTGATCGGACGTTATTACTGTTTGTATAAACTGCATACAGATTGAAAAAAAATTTGAAAGGTTTGGGGCTATGGAAAAAATGTGTTTGCCCTAAATACATTCACACATCCAAAATGATATCTTCCAACATGTACCATATGCCAGATACATCTAAAAAAACACCCTAAGTATTTTCCTGATTCATTCGTCATTGATTTTGTGAAGATTCGCTACAGTGTTCACGGGAACATTGTTGTTGGAGGCGTAATCAGTGGCTTCGGAGTACGCTCTGTTTCAGCACTGTACTGTTGTTTGCAGTTCTACATTCTGTTGCAGGTGTACACAGTGGGGCAGAGCACGCACAGTTTCAGCACGTGCCGTTGCAGGTGTGCACAGTAGGCCCGAAGTACGCTCAGTTTCAGCAGCGTGTGCCTGTTTTTGCAGGTGTATACAGTGTACGGAGTACGCTCGGTTTCAGCAGCGTGTGCGTGTCGTTGCAGGTGTACACAGTGGGTCCCGAGTACGCTCACGCCGAGGCGAGAAAGTCGCCGGCCCTCGACGGCAAGGTGGAGCGGGACCAGGACGGCAAGGTCAGTCCGGACCTGCGCTTATCGACGGCAGCGGAGCCGACAGCCGGCCGTCGGCCCCAGTTACGAAGCACAAATCCGAAAAACATCCGTTCGATTCATTTCCCGGAACGGGGAACATGGGATTTAGATGTTTGAGTTTGATGGTTCTCGGAACGAGTCCGTAGGTTTGTGTGTTGGGAGCACAACGGCGGGAGTCAAGCACTGCTCCGGTTACGGAGCTGGCGTTAATGAGGCCTAGGATGGCGTGTGCTGTTGAACGCAACGACGCCTTTGTAAGCCATATGGCGACGTTATCGCGAGGTTCACTTCTGACGACCAGGTGGGTGATATTGAACACGACTACGCCTTTGTAAACCGCACGGCCACGTCATCACAACACTCACCTCTGGTGATTAGGTCACCTGTGGTGTGTCGCTGAGCGCCACCGACCGGCCAAGCTAAAAACCTGTCGTTACCGGTGCGCTGCAGCCGCGCCGACCGTGCAGCTGCTGCGGCAGGCGCCGCTCGGGCCGCCCCGTCCGCCTCCGCGCTGCGGCTGTCGGCCGTGTCAGGGTCACCGGCCGGTGTTACGGGGCCGTTCTGCCCGTTGTCGTCCCGCTGTGGTCGCATGCATGCCTCCTCGCTGCATTTGTCGGCCTCGTCAGGGCTTCCGGCCATGGGTGCCATATGGCCAACGTGTCGGTGCGCCCCAAAGCCCAAATCATCAGGGCTACCGGCCGGTGTAAGAGGGCCTGTCTGTCCCTTCTCGCCCCGCTGTGATTGGGCGCGCGTGACGCGGCGTGGAGTGTCGTCTGACTGGGGGGCCCGTTTTCCCCATAGTCAAACTCCATCCCCAAGAATCAACACGTGACGTCACAGGCAAGTGCGCCACAATCGTTTTCCGGCATTGGAGTACGGCCGTTTGCGTGTGGCGCTGCTGCCCATGACGTCATTGATTACAGCCTTAGGTGAGGGCTGTGCCAGTGAGTAGCCGGGCCCTAACGCTGGAGGCGTTCAGGGTAGAATGCCCTTTACCCATCCACCCGCTACCCGCCTGCCCACCCACCCGCTGCTTGCCTGCCCAGTAACACAAATACTAAAGTAATATAGATAACAGCAAGTAATACAAATAGTTTAAACGAACTCACTACGATGAAAATAAATAAATGAGAACGACTAAATGATGAGTAAAGAGTTCAGTTCGGCTGGCGTCGGTAGCCTGCTGTTCAGCGTAATACGCCTGTGGATGGGGCAAGCGGACCGGCGCTGGTCTGCCGGCCCGACCTGGCCCCCCCCCCCCCCCCTCTCCCCTCCGGCCTCGGGGACTGGCGGACAGGCAGGGTGTCGCGCGCGCGGGGGTCGTCATCCATGAAGTAAGATCGCGGGAGCGTCTCTCAGACCCGAACGGTGCCAGCCGCGCCACCGACGAGCGGTCTACGCGTGACACCCGGGTGCTGAATCCCAGGGGTGGTGATTGCATGCAAGCCAGAGCCACGCCGCGGCGATCCGGCTCGATAACAGCGTCGGCGAAGCCGTGACGATAGCGTCGGTGATCGATTCAGGGCTGGGAACCAAGTGCTGCTGGCGGCCCGGGTTGAAGCGAGTCCGCGGAGCATGCTGGGAGATTTTATCCTGACTTGTTGCTATCGACCGCGTGCAGGTTACCGTGCCACGCTTCCGGCAGTAGTCATGTTTAATTCGTTCGGTCTAGAGTGACGTCATGTCAGAATGGCGGCGTAGTGGGCGGCACTATTTCACTGGAAGCGCCATTGCTGACCGGATTTGAGGAGGTTGCTTTGTTCGCTTTAATGCGTGCGATATGCGCCGTTCGTCCCACAGTCGACCCCGGACGGTGTTTGGACGGCAGCAGATGCTCCCGCCGCCGTGCTCAGCGTGTTGCGTCGTTCCGTCGCTCAGCATTGCACAGGCGCAAAATGACCCTAGAAGTCGACGCGCCCTAAAGCCCCAATCATCATCGTCAGCACTGCACTGTCTCACGGTGCAGTGCTACGCGCCGACGTCCGTGATGAAATATTCCTATTTGCACCGTTGTCTGACGAAAACGGACACCACCAGGGCCAGTCCAGCTATGTCCATGTGATTTTCCATAACATACCACTGCAGCTACTATGCTGTGTTACCTACGCTGAAGTACTGCCATCGAACTCATCGAAAAACGCTGTGCCTTTGGATGTTTTAGTGGAAGGTATATGAAATTGGCTGCCCGCGTTACTGGTGTAGAACCTACTGGATGGAAATTGTACACCCAGCCAGGTGTCCATGGCTGCGTTACGAGGGAGCTGTATAGCAGAATGCGTAACGCCCAATGCCGTTTACACTATCGGCGTAACAAGCAGACCACTCCGTGGTGAACGAATTGCATAGATGTCGCCAGCTAAGATGTCACGTACATCATTCAAACAACGGGTGTAAAATGCGTAAATGGGTTGAAATGTCACCATTCCGTACAGTACATGCGAATCATGGTGTGATTCCATTCAAACGGCTGCATTCGCGGAAGTAAATCGAGGGTTAGATTATCGTGGCGTCACGTGACGTCTCGTATGGTCGCGCTGATTCTCTTCAAGTGGGAGTTTGCAATTGCAGCGGTCTAGCAGTGATACGTGTCGTGGGATGTTGCATGAGAAAGGCTCTTGTGCACCATCAATTGAAACGAGACAGCATGATCGATATAACGCCAATTTTAAAAGGGGAACGTAGCTTCCTGCCAAAACGCCATCTTCCTGTGTGTACGGGCTGTAAAGCTGTTTAAAAGCGTTCGGTAGAGTCTTCCCGGCCCGGATGGGTGCTCCATTAGTCCTCGCCCTGACTCGCTCTTGTTCATACTGCTGACTGAAGGGGGTGGATTAATGCGAGCCCCTCCCCGTCGCTTCTAAACTAAGAATGATTTAGCTTCGCGGAAAAAGTGGGCTGGTCTCAATGCAATTAAATCTCACGATCGTTACGTTTTTGTTTCTAGGTCAAATAAACCCCATCCTGCCATGCCAAATGTCAATTTTTCCAAAAAAGAGCATATCTACGAGATCTACTAACATATCTTTGAATTTCCATATATACGAGAATATACTATGTAGCGACACTGAGTTAACGCAGGCAGATTTCTGGTTTAATTTTGAGCACATTAGCATGCGGTTTGATGTGTTTGAGCGTCTTTTTATAACGTAGTGTTCCGTTAACGTGACAGTGTCGGCCCGCCGCCCGCTATCAGCGGGTGCTCCGGTGTCCGCCCGCCGCGCGAGATCGGCGGGTGCTCCGGTGTCCGCCTGCCGCGCAAGATCGGCGGGTGCTCCGGTGTCCGCCCGCCGCCCGCACCGGCCATGGATCGCCCTGCGGCTTTCTGGGGGAAAAACCGGACCTGTTCGGGAATGGGAAGTGCTGGAGATACGTGTTTGACGTTTCAAATGCGCACAATGATTGCTCCATAGGCTACCGAAGATATGAGCGCGATTTCGCAAGCCGGAGAGATATCCTCAGAAAGCCCTACGTGTGTGAGGTCATATCCCCTCCCCCCCCCCCATCCCCTATCGTGGCGAGGATGAAAGTAGCGTGACATTCGGTAAGGTGTCGGCGGATATCTGCCCAGCTGGCGGGCAGTGCATGCTGGCTGGGTATGGTGGAGGCTGATCTGCCGCCGGCCCGGGCCGGCCCTGCGTTACAGGAGGTCCGCTACCCGGTGATCCTGACCAACACCGAGAAGCTGATCGCCAGGAAGGTGTGCCAGGCGTTCAAGCAGACCGTCTGCGGATTTGATCTGCTCAGGTGCGTCAGCTCTCGTGCTTCCGGCACGTCTTTGATGGCATCCGTTTGGAGGTGGTCCGTCCAGCGTGCCACGCTCCGTTATAAACAACCGGTGCCGTGAGACAGCATGGTGTTGTTGGATATTAATGTTGAACATTACCGTGCTGGTCGTTAGTGTGATGAAGGTAACGGCGCTCACTCACGAACGTCACGCCATGGCAATGTTGTCCTCATTATGTTCGCCTGCATCAGGTCGATCGATATGCTACCGTGGTTACGTCACTTATCCTCTTATGGAAGTGGGCAAAGATCATTAGTGTCATCATGCTCCGTGTGATTGTCGTAAATGGTGTGGTAAAGGCGGGATTCGAACCCGGTTTCCTGGGCCGGGAGTCCATTGCGCTTCCGACTGCATCACGCCGCAGTGTGCGCTCGTGCTGACGTGCGTCTCCGCACTCCCGCAGGGCGAACGGCCGCTCCTACGTCTGCGACGTCAACGGCTTCAGCTTCGTCAAGAACTCCAACAAGTACTACGACGACTCGGCCAAGATCCTGGGCAACATGATCCTGCGCGAACTCGCGCCCACGCTGCACATCCCGTGGTCGGTGCCGTTCCAGCTGGACGACCCGCCCATCGTGCCCACCACCTTCGGCAAGATGATGGAGCTGCGCTGCGCCATTGCCGTCATACGCCACGGCGACCGAACGCCCAAGCAGAAGATGAAGATGGAGATACGCCACCAGAAGTGAGCCCCCTGGGTTGGCCCTGTTGGGCTGGGGTCCATGCTGCTAATGCGGCTGCGGGTGTGACGAATGCATGTGGTTCGGGGAGCTCATGTATGCGGAAAAAGTAGCGCCCCATTTGGAATGTACTGAAATGCGTTGGAATGCTTACACCATGACGGTAAGACGGCTAAGCGGCGTGCATTTCGCCTTCCGGGATTTGTTCTGTTACGTGTCTTTTGGATGCTGCCATATGCAGCGTGAAACCGTCTCAGGTGGCAGCCCAACGAGGAGGACCATTCTGGACCAGTTATGACGGTGTCAATAGCATGTGCATGGCGATTGTTCGATTACCGATCTTGCCTAAGCTGTGGCAGCGCGTGTCAGGCCTAGGCCTTCGCCCCAGACCGGCTGGCTGGTGTCGCCGCTAGGTTTTACCCGAGGCTTTCGATGCCAACAGGTTCTTCGACATCTTCCGCAAGTACGACGGCGACCAGCAGGGCCACATCAAGCTGAAGAAGCCCAAGCAGCTGCAGGAGATCCTGGACGTGGCGCGCGAGCTGCTGGACTCTTATGACGACGATCCCGAGGTGGTGAAGAAGCGAGCCAAGCTCGAACAGCTGCGCAACGTGTTGGAAATGTGAGTTGGCGGCGTGCATGGTGCCGTTGCCGTGTCGGGGATCTGGCATGCGGCGCCCCGGCCCGGCGGCCCGGACCGCCGCACGCTGGTCTGCGGCGGGCGGGGGGAGGGGGCAGGGGGTGCGGCGCTGTCGGCCCCCGGCTGCCGGCGGAGCCTCCTTCCCTGTCTACCGAGCCACGCGGCAAGCTCGTGATGACCGGCGGCACGGCGGTCAGACGGCATCGGCTGGTGCTGGAGCTGGCACACCTCCCACCCGATCCCGCAGTAATTGCAACACTTCTCTGTTGATCTAAGCCGCCGGCGAAATCCTTCTCTCTCGTTTTGTTTCATGGAATTGCTGGCAAAACCCTTCCTCCATATTTGCGAGGACTGCCGGGATGCAACATCATTTTATTTTGTTCGTGATGTCGGCTAATTACTACCTTGTGGGCCGGTTGAGAGCCCATCTCTGCCTACGTATATGGTTGAGCCGCTATTGGCTTTCGTCTCCGTCCATCCTACTACGGCTGGTGATCCTTCTCTTCCTCCATCCTGCCGGGTGGCTGGTGACCCCTTTGTCCCGCCGGACGGCTGGTGACCATTCTCCCCCTTTGTCTGTTCCTGTCCCGCCAGGCCGCCGGTGACGTCGGCGTCTATCTCCCCCCGTCCCCCCAGGCTGCCGGTGACATCGGCGTCTCTTTCCCCCTGTCCCGCCGGGCCGCCGGTGACGTCTGCATCTCTCCTCTGTCCCGCTTGGCCGCCGGTGACGTCGGCGTCTCTTCCCCTGTCCCGCCGGGCCGCCGGTGACGTCGGCGTCTCTCTCCCCCTGTCCCGCCGGGCCGCCGGTGACTTCGGCGTCTCTCTCTCCCTGTCCCGCCGGGCCGCCGGTGACGTCTGCATCTCTCCTCTGTCCCGCCTGGCCGCCGGTGACGTCGGCGTCTCTCTCCCGCTGTCCCTCCGGGCCGCCGGTGACGTCGGCGTCTCTCTCCCCCTATCCCGCCGGGCCGCCGGTGACTTCGGCGTCTCTCTCCCGTCCCTCCGGACCGCCGGTGACTTCGGCGTCTCTCCCCCTGTCCCGCCGGACCGCCGGTGACGTCGGCGTCTCTTCCCCTGTCCCGCCGGGCCGCCGGTGACGTCGGCGTCTCTTCCCCTGTCCCGCCGGGCCGCCGGTGACGTCGGCGTCTCTCCCTCTGTTGCAGCGTGCTGCTGCTGTCCGTTCAGACGCCGGCCGTACTGTGAGTGACGGTCGGCGACTCGGCCTGCCCCGCTGCCCCCCCCCCCCCCCCCGCCCCGCGCCTGGCTCGCACTGTATGCTGCCGGCATGCGTGGCCTTCTCCCCGGGTCGGGCCGCCCGCCGCCTGGTGTGCCCCTCCCCCCGCCCCCCTGACCTGCCCGACGTCGAGGACCGTCGTGCGCTGCATGACCGGCGTGCGCGCTGCGCGCTCCGCCTGCCGGCCCGGCGGCACCGGACGGTCCGGCATGCAGGCGCTGGTCAGTCTGCCGGCCCAGCGGCGCCGGACGGTCCGGCATGCAGCCGCTGGTCAGTCTGCCGGCCCAGCGGCGCCGGACGGTGAGGCATGCAGCCGCTGGTCAGTCTGCCGGCCCGGCGACACCGGACGGTCCGGCACGCAGCCGCTGGTCAGTCTGCCGGCCCAGCGGCACCGAACGGTCCGGCATGCAGCCGCTGGTCAGTCTGCCGGCCCAGCGGCACCGGACGGTCCGGCATGCAGCCGCTGGTCAGTCTGCCGGCCCAGCGACACCGGACGGTCCGGCATGCAGCCGCTGGTCAGTCTGCGGGCCCAGCGGCGCCGGGCGGTCAGGCATGCAGCCGCTGGTCAGTCTGCGGGCCCAGCGGCGCCGGGCGGTCAGGCATGCAGCCGCTGGTCAGTCTGCGGGCCCACCGGCACCGGGCGGTCAGGCATGCAGCCGCTGGTCTCGTGAGCTGCACAGGCTTTGTGTGTGCCGCGCCGTTTAGTGCTGTGGCGGGAATGGCCTGCGGCTGGCCTCATGACCGTCAGTGTCTGTAGTGGTGAACGATCTCACGTTCGTGAGGTGATGTGGTGGATGATGACGGTTTGGGGAATGGCAGTGATGTAAACATGTCATATCTCTTGCATGTTTTGAATTCTAGCCACAACTCTTTCTTGGAGGTGGGCTTTGTGGTAAAAGCCACGGCTAGCAGCAAATATTATTGAAAATTGGCGGCTCCGTTGGGCCAAACCAGGCATATCCAGGAAATTGCCGATGTATTATCTAGCTATAAGTAGCGCTCCCTGTATAGATTAGTAGACACATTTCAGTCAGTCCCTGCAACCCCCACTACAATCATTCTTTGGCAAGAGTGTGCCGTCTACAGCTTGGCTTGTCCACCTTGGTCATTGGATTCAGGCATTTGTGAAGTTTTTCAGTCATGTGGGCTTATAACACATCGGTTAGCGGAGGTAGAAGGTTGGAAGACGAGTGCCCTGGCGCGCGAGCCGCGCCGCGAGGGCGGACTGGTCGGCAGCGGACTGTCTGGCAGGCGCCGGCCGGCCCGCGGGGGTCTGCACCGCACCGGTGCCCGGCCGGCCGCCGCCGTCTCGGTGGCCCAGGTCACCTGCTCGGCGTGGGAGCTGTGACTGACCGCGGATCTGGGCTGCCTGCCGGCGCCAGGCAAGGCGCTGGCTGGGTCCGGCCGCAGCCCGCCGCCCCGCCGCCTCGGGCTGCGGGGCCAGGAGGGTGTCCCGCCCCCGGCCAGCGGCGCCGGTGGGCGCGCTGGGCCGGCCGGCCCGAGCCGCGCCGCCCTGAGGCTGGGCGGTGCTGGGGCTTTGCTCTCCGAGCCGACGGAGGCCGCCGCGCCGGCCCGGCGTCGGGACGCGGCCCAGATCCGCACGCCGACGTCCGCCGGCCGGGCGGACCCCGGCGCCACGGCCTGGCGGGCGCGACGCGCCGCCGCTCGGGTACCGCTTCCGGGCATGCGTGCGACTGGCATGCCGTCGCGTCTGCCGCGCGACGCCGCGCTCCGCTGCACCTGGACACGGCTCATCCGTGTCATGTAGAGCACCGAACTGCGCCACCGAACTAGGCGGCTCGTCCTTCTGCTCCGAGTCGGCTGGGTTCAACCTGTTTTCTTTGTCACAGGTACGGACACTTTTCGGGCATCAACCGGAAAATTCAGATCAAGTACCAGCCCAAGGGCTGGAAGAGGAGCAGCGAGGACGGTGAGTCGGGTCGGGCGGGCCAGTGACCTCCGGCGTTGTTCCCGGGCAGGGAGTTTTGGCACGGCATCGGGGGTCATGAACCGTTGTAAGCGATTACGTGGAATCCCGTTGTGGGCGTCGGCCGACTTGTTTACGTGAGGCTAGAACTGTTTGGCAGCGGTGTGATGCCGCTAACCTTAATCTGGCAGGGCGTGACACGGAGTTTGATATGAATTAGATTACCCGGGACTAGCCTTCGACGCGTCGACGTCTATATTCGCCTTGTGCGTATGCGGGCCTTTCGCTTTCGCAGGGCATGTGCATGAAGGCACGGCAACCTGCTCATTCTGTCGCTGTTAGTGATATTACAACGGCGTTTCGTAGCGCTGTATGCCGTTGTAAAAAGCCTTCGAGTGCTTCCTTCACAACCGAACTTAAATGATAATTTCCGTTTCCGACGTTATTGATATATCAACAGCTATTGACACACCAGACGTCTGAATTGGGCTATATCAATTATCCCATGGATGGGATGCGGTGAGCTTGTACAAGCGTGCTGTATATGCGTCTCTGGACACGTCATACGATCGATGTGTCCGTGTGAGGGGGATGTCCGTGCGCAGGTGTGAGCACGTTGTGCGTATTTTTACACACGAGCGCCTGTCATGTGCGGACACCCGGACATATATGGACATACCCGGACACGCATGGGTTGGTTGTTCGTGTCCCCTGACACGTGTGGTCGTCCTGCCCACATCCTGGGCACCTGACAGTCTCGTCCGTGTCGGTTTGCATCCCTTCTCGCCAGTGGCATGTCCGCAACTACAGTACATAGGCCTGATATTCGTATCCTTCGAGACATGTGTGTTTCTTGTCTTGTACGTACCGGGCGTGTTGGGATGGCCTTTTCTCTGGACACCCGACAGCGTCGTGTCGGCGTCTGCTCGCGTTTGTGGGCGCACCGTCCGTACATGGGGACACCTGTGGGTGTTGTATCCTGGTGTGGGGCCGCTGTAGTCGCGGCGCCCGCTCTCGTGGCCCGCTGTCTGTGAGCGGCTGCCGGCGCGGCGTGGTGGCCTGCGCGCGCGCGTCCGGCGCCGCCTCGACGGACGGCCGCCTGAGCGCGCCGCCGGCCCTCTCGCCGCCAGAGAGCACCTCCGAGGAGCCGTCCCTGGTGCTCGTGCTCAAGTGGGGCGGCGAGCTGACGCCGGCCGGCCGCGTCCAGGCCGAGGAGCTGGGCAAAATATTCCGGTGTATGTACCCGGGCGGCCAAGGTAAGTCGGCGGCGGCAGCAGCGGCCGCGTGCGCGGGTGTGGGCCGCGTCGGCGAGCCCCTGAGTGCCCGCTGACGCGCTGGTCAGTGATGGGAGCTCAGGAGATTGCTGGTCCCGGTGGCCGAGTGGGCTGAGTCATCACTGGTCGCAGTAGTGTCCCGGTCGCAGCACCTACTAAAGCGCGCATCGCACCGCGATCTAAAGCGAAAACGGAGACGTCCTCGCGTAAAAAGATCACGTTACGTTGTCCGATAAGATATCAAAGCCAGGCTGATATTCTTGTGAAAACAAAAAGGACGGCAGATCGTAAAATCTGGCGGGGATGTAAAAGTTGGGCCTTGTTGAACTTTGCATGTACATGATGACGTGAAGTGTTCTCGAGAAAAACGTCGGTGCGTCAAGACGCTTACATCACGTGACGTCATGAAAATACCGCGCTTTCGTGTCTGGCTAGCGTTGTCAGCACACTTCGAACGCAGCCCTTGTCCGTGGCGCGCTATCATGCCGCGACCGACGGCCGCGTGAGAGCCGAGGCTTCACTCTGTAAATGACGCACGCTGCAGTCTCATCACCTTGACGTTCGGTGGTGCTTCGTCATGTCTAAGCGACGGGCCCGATGGCGTGGGCGCCGGCGCCCTGTGCCGGCCCGCAGCTCCCAGCGCTCTGACCGGTCGCGCCGCCGGCGTCCCAGTGTTATGAACACGGCGACGCGCGGCCGCCCTGTAGGCGCGTGCGCGGCGGGGGCTGTTGCCGCGCCAGACGCTGCTGAAGGCAATAACCCAGGTCGCACTAACGGGTTCTGTGTGAGGTGGTCGTGGCGTACCATTACTGTGTCATTGACTCCTCGTAGTGGTTTGCGCGGTGGTGAGCGGTGGTAATAGTCGATCATAACCCACCGCCTGTTGGTGTTAGCTGTTCATAACATCGCCGCTGCCTGAGAGATTCTACAGTGGCCGGCACGCCCTGTTTTTTTTTTACCGTCATTTGTAGCATCTGGCTCCATGTGGGTGTGTGTATGTCACGCGCTTATGTACATGGGCCGTGGTGAGCGTCGGCTGCCGCCTGCCGCGCTCAGCGGCCCGTGGCGCCGCCTGGATGTGACCCATCTGTCTCCTGACACTGTCGCTCTGTCTCTCCCACCGCAGGTATTATGCAGCCCTGGGGGTCAGGAATGTCGGAGGGATTCCCCGCGTATCACTGTTAGTGGGACCTCCTGATTATCCACCTGTAGCTTTTCCATGCTCTTCCTCGCTCATACTCACTCTGTCTCTTGCTGTCTCTGTCTGGTTTTCTGTGCGTCCCCACTAACCACGGTGCTCGGTGCGAGTTCATGCAGTAATTGTGGAAGTCAGCTCCGTTTCTAGGCCAAGTAGAGTGCTCCTCTGAAGCTGATTGGGTGCGTTTGCCTCATCCCAAATCCTGATAAATTTATTCGGTCCTTGCTGTAAGCCAGCAGTTGCGCTAGTGTTACGCTCGCTTTCATCACACGCCATAAGCTAGCCACCGTTGGAGAACGGGTGGCGGGGGTCCCCATCAGCCATCAGCAACCATCTGTTGGAATGCCGCACTTGGGCGAGCGTGCTCATTGCGAGCCTAAAGCGCGATAGTCATCCTGGCTTCCGCGAGTCAGTCTTAAGTCCCTCTCGCATACGTGGATGCATTTCGGCATCGGCCCGCAGTGCTGCCTCACTGCCGAGAGGCCTGGGGAGAGGCGGGAGGGAGCGGGGAACATTCGGCTGGCCCCCAGCGCTGTAAGCACCTGTGCCCTCACCGTCCCGACCCGCCGCCCGCTCCTCTCCGCATGCGCTCCTCGCTTACTAACCGACCGCGGCTCGCGACGGCTGCCGGCGGCGCTGCCCCGCGGCCGACCCTGGCGCGGCGTCACGGCCTCCCGCGCATGGCAGCTCCCAGAGCGTCCCAGCGCCGGCGGAGCGTCTGTGACCGTCCAGGGCCAGCGGCCACCTGAAGCCAGTCCGTTGTCACGCAATTTCTCCGCTGCTCGCACCGCTGCCCAACAGCCGTCGCATGCGGGCATTTTTAAAATGAAACGATGCCTTTGTTCTTGTTCGTTTATTGCTTAGTTGCCCCGGTTTATGATCATAAGCTCCGGCATTTGTACGCTTATTTGAAAACGGTCGGAGTGCTTGCTGAGTCCTGTCGCCCGTGGCCGGTCTCCGCTCGCTTGCTGCGCTAGTGTTACGATTTTTACACTGTTCGTCTCTTTTGTATTCGAAATGTGCGGCTGTTTTTCTGCCGCTTGTACCTTTGGCAGTCTCATTTTGCGCATATCCGGTTTGCCTCGACGAGTGTTCATGGCTGTACACTGCTTGCGGCCGCGTGTGACGAGCGCCGCGGCCGGCGCCGGCGGCCGCCGCGGCTCGGTCTGCCCTCGCCGCCCCGCCGCCGTGTCGCGCCGGTGACCCGAGCGCGCCGGCCGCCGCAGGGGAGTACGCCGGCACGCAGGGCCTGGGGCTGCTGCGGCTGCACTCCACCTACCGGCACGACCTCAAGATCTACGCGTCGGACGAGGGCAGGGTGCAGATGACGGCCGCCGCCTTCGCCAAAGGTGTGCTCGGGGCCGGCCGGCGGCGGCTGAGCTCCGTCCGCGGTGTGCGCTTCAGGCCGTCTGCGCTGACGACAGGCGTAGTCACTGCGGCGCGTTTGGCGCCACGTGCGTTGAACTGTGGCGCCCGCCCGTCCGGCGAGCTGAGGCGCTGCATTGCGTTGAAGATGGTGTTAAGGGCGTTAAAGGAATCACTCTGAGATAGGATAGCGGGGTGTTGGCCACGCTGCTGTAGGCCTGTTGAGGCCGTGTGTCTGAGCCAGCGGTGGGCGGCGAAGGGCACGGTGAGCCGGCCGCCGTCGCCGCCTGCAGTCGGCACGTGACGTTCATGGCGTGTCGCGCCGAGGCTCGCCGGTGGCAGCGAAGGAATGTCGCGATGACGCTCTCTGTGGCCTCCCCAGGGCTGCTGGCGTTGGAGGGCGAGCTGACCCCGATCCTGGTCCAGATGGTCAAGTCCGCCGACACAAACGGCCTGCTTGACAACGACTCCGACTCGCGCAACCTGCTCAACATGTGAGTGTCGACCGCTGTGTGCGGAGCATTGGGACGGCGCTGGCCTGCCGGCCGCGGCAGACGGCGAGCTTGGTGATGCGCCGTCCGGTCCGGTCACGCGTCCGGTCTCGAGCCAGGCCCCGTCTGAGCGAACGCCTCCGCCGCAGGGTGAAGAACAGCATCCACGACCTGTTCCAGCAGGACCGCGACTTCACGGCCGCCGACATCCAGCAGCTGAACCCCACCGGCTCCATCAGCGTGGCCAAGGCGCTCAGTCGGCTCAGTGAGTGGCGGCCGCCGGCGCTCGGCATGGTCGGCACCGCCTCGGGTGGCCGCCGGTGCTCGTGCTCGGCATGGTCGACACCGCCTCGGGTAACCGCCGGTGCTCGTGCTCGGCATGGTCGACACCGCCTCGGTGCTCAGCGGGCGACCGCTGGTGCTCGCGCTCAGTGTACCCGACGCCGCCGCTGACGCCTCGGCGCCGCGCCGACCTCCTCCCGTCGGGTTTTGCTCTACTTCAGCACGCTCAGTTGAAGGCGTTGCTGACTAAAGTCAAACCCGTCAATGCCCACACTGCCACTTGTCCGCATTTGTGAGCGTTGGTTTGTTTGCGTGGAGTCGGTCAAGTGCCAAAATGTTCGTGTCTTTCGCTCAAGCGCCTTTTGTTTATGATAGCCTAAGTACCCTGGAAACCCGTCTCAGATCTCCAGACTAAGTACATCTGCTTAGAGAATGCTAGCGTATTATCGTCTGACTTGCGGTGGCAGGTTTGCGTGTATGTTCACGCTCTCTCGTTTGATGGCAGAAAATCCGGTGGAAACCTGCCAGCTGGTGTACAACCACCTCCAGAAGCTGCTGAAGGTCATCACCCCGAAAATGGAGGAGTCCAAAGGTAGGCCGGTGTTGCATCTGGCAGTCAGACAGGTGCCAGAGCGGTGTGCTCTTTACTGGTGCTCTGAGAAAAATGATTCTGGCCAGCCAATTAAGAGCTTTGTGAGAGAGCCAGCTGGCATTGGGTGAGATCAGACATTTGAATGCATGACAACACGTCTGGCCGCGTGATGGGCGATCTGCTAGATCCGCGCGAGTGTTATCCACACCCGCTGTTAGTGATAAAGCTTGCCGGTGGCCTGCTGCCACGGGTTGCCAGCCGGCCTGACCAGGCTGCCACGGCGGCCACCCCGACAGAGCTCATACTGTACCACGGCGAGACCTGGGAGCTGATGCTCCGACGCTGGGTCAAGCTCGAGAAGGACTTCAAGACGAGCAACGGCAAGTTCGACATCAGCAAGATACCCGACATCTACGACAACATCAAGTACGACCTGCAGCACAACCAGAAGGTGCTGCAGTTCGACGACGCCGAGGAGATGTACCGCGTCGCCAAGACGGTGGCTGACGTCATTGTACCGCAGGTCAGTGGCTCTTCAGCGCCGCAGGCGGTGGCGTGCGGGGCCCAGACACGGGCCTGCGCCATCGGGCCGGGCGCTGTTCGACGACGCGCAGTCTCCGAGACTCGGCTGGGTGGTCGGTGCGCTCGACACTCGCCAGCGTGGTGCACCCGACACACGCCAGTGCGGTGCACTCGACACTCGCCAGCGCGGTGCAGCGGCACTCATCGCGCACGTCGTGGCTGTGGAGCCTGTGAGGAGCCGGTCCGTGTCGACACTGAGTGTCCCTCCCCCGCCGGGGAAGGGGAGAGGATAAGCTCAAGGTGCCCGCTCACCGAGCCGCTGTGGCCGCGGGGTCAGCTGCTGCGCCCCCCGTCCGCGCCCGGAGCCCAACCCCTGCCGCCGCCTCGGCCGACTCTCCGTCGGTGGTCCGAGCCGGGCCGGGCTACGAGACCGGTGTCCGTGAGGCGGCCGGCTGTCCTGGCCTGTCGTGCTGCACCGTGTTTACCGCGCGCCACGCCCTCGGGTCGATAGAACCTCCCCCTGATGGCGTGTGACGGCTGTGTATGCTCGTGACACATGATCGGCATTGGGATTTACGATCTGACCTTTGCGGTGAGTGCGCTGAAGTATCCCTTCGATAAGACGAGCTGCTGTTACCCCACTTCGGGAACGAGCCGCCCACAGGTGACCTGTGCACCCAGTCATGGGCGCGCGGTCGCCGCCGGCACCGCCAGTCCGCGTCATCTGCCCCAGACCTCAGCTGTGCAGTTCGGCATGGCCGTCGTAACACGGGCGCCGCTCATGAATCACCCTTCGTGCAGCGTATTCCCGGCGCTGTTTGTCTGCCGGCCACAGGCAAAACGGCTTAAGTGCTGTGTTCACTAATGGCTCTTAGGCCTCTTGCCTTTGGACGGCAGTGCGGCGTCTGTGTGTTGCGTTTAGCCCTTGTCGCGGAGCCGGGATTGGTGTCGGTCGTTGAGACTGTCGCCGCCAGCTGGCGTGTTGATCCCCGCTGCTGACGGATGTCCGCGCCAGCCTGCGATATGGGCCGGTCCTGATCTCAGCCTCTAGTGTGCGTCACCGCCTGTCCCCGATACGCCGATCCCTCGCCTCGATATGCCGATCCCTCGCCTCGATCGTAGCCTCCCGTGAGCTCGTCCGTCCCTGTGTCGGTGTCGGTGCCGGTGCGTGCGTCTGAGGGGCGCCCGGCCGCCGCTGCAGGAGTACGGGCTGACGCGCCAGGAGAAGCTCTCCATCGGGCACGGCATCTGCACGCCCCTGCTGAAGAAGATCCAAGCGGACCTGCGACGGAACGTGGATGAGGGCGCCGAGGAGAACGTCAACCGGCTCAATCCCATGTAGGTGCCGCGGCCGGCCGGGCCAGAGCGGCGTACCGCGCTCGCGCGCCGCGGGGCGCGTCCGCCGACACAGGCCGGGGCGGGCCAGCACGCGACTGGCGGGCCCGCGCCGCCGACCGTCCTGCCGCCTCCTCAGTGGGCCAGTGACTGCAGAGGTGTAACCTCGCACGCAGA